TCTAGCAAGACCCCATGAGAGTAGAATGACGATTGCTGAAAGGTTTGCACAAGGCTTGGTAAATTGATGTAGTAAAGACATCTAATATTTAAAGCAAAGTGGTCAGATGATGATTAGGGCTATGGCGGTGAGCATCAAATTAGGCAGGCGTTCGCTTCAAGCGAACAGAACACGGGGAAAATTCCCATTGGCTACTACAAGCGGGTCAAAACTAACGCTAGTTACCAGTACCTTACATAATCAATATATCGAAAAAAAAATCCCACATCAAAACACCTTTTTATATATATTTAAAACATTCCTCAGATCAGAACCCTCTGAAAATTCCTGAGGTCGTACAACGACCTCTTGGGGTAACGGAAAAAAAATGGTGCTATCTTCGGGATATATATAGTAAATTTGTGTAAAAAAAAGAAGCGAAGTTTCATAATATTTTAGAATACAAAGACTCTGTACATCTCGCTAATGTTTTGCATATATATATATATATATATATATATATATATATATATATATATATATATATATATATATGTATATATAATATGTCACGGTTAGTCCTAGATTCTATTGATGATTACGATAAGGCTTAAGCATCTTTGTTTTTTATTCAATGTCTAATCATAACTAAAAGATCAATCATTTAATACTCATTTAAACACCATTATTCTTACTGCAACTGTGCATGATCAGTGACAAAATGAAAATACACAGACAGACACCCGGACGGGCGAGAAAGTGTATTTGTAAATGACTTAATACGAAACAAGAAACTTAACACAAATCCAGTCTTACCCAGTTCTAGCAGAGTGACTATTATAGATCTCTTGTAAACGATTAAACTCTTGTAGTTTAAGGCCGAAAACTGGCTTTTAATTTCTGCCCAGTCCGGCATTTTAAATGGAGATATCGCTGAAGTGTATAAACATAGCAGGGACAAAATTTCACAAAGATGGAAGAAAAATAAAGGCAGATCGAGACAAAGAGAGAGAAGGGGGGGGGGGGAAGAGGGAGTGCCAGTTACGTATAGTGGAGTAGGCAAGGGGTAGTTAGGGGGGTTATAACCCCTCCCTCCCATATATATATATATATATATATATATATATATATATATATATATATATATATATATATATATATATATATATATATATATATATATATACATATATATATGATTTGATACTTAAGGAACAATATTTGAACCCCTCCCATGACCAATTCCTGGCTACGCCACTGGTTACATATATTTAATAATTGCTTATAACATTGACAATATTCGAATAAAACGGTTGTTTGTACAGTTTATGAAATATTTTCTGTTTTTGGAAGCTTTCTTTTAACCATCGTTTTAATTTAGTTATTGTATAAAGAATGTAGTTATTTGTACAAAGCTAGTTTTAATTCTCTATTTCTGAAGTTGCACGGAAGATAAAATAAATAAGACAAAAGAGATGTTTGTCAAAGGTTCTGTCCCGCCTAGAGATGGATTATAAATTAGGGATAATCGTTCACTAATAAAAAGCGATGTTTATCAAAATTCATTAATAATCAGAACCTAAACTAATACCTAAGCAATAAACCTAAACTTGAACATAAAAATAAGGAATCGAAAAAAAAATTGCAAAATGTACAGAAAAAAAATGCTTTTTTTCCCGTTCAATTAATGATCAATAGTCTTTTAAGTACAAATCGCAAATTATTACACGAGGTTGGGGGAGACACGATGAGTTAAACGTGCTAAATATAGAGAAAACAATGCTACATCCAACTGTATTATTAACAAAGTATAGATAAACGTCGCTACTATTAAGTCTGTAGTGATTTAATCTTACACACTTATACACTCATACACACACACACACACACACATATATATATATATATATACATATATATATATATATATATATATATATATATATATATATATATATATATATATATATATATATATATATATAAGTACTTTGATTTTTTTTTGGGGGGAGGGGGGGTGACACCACGAAGTGCCGCACCAGGTGACAACCGTCATTAATGTTTTCTTACAGGCTCCACTGCCTAGGGCACAAATGCCAGCATCGCAACCTTAAACTCTATACCCAACCCTTGACCCCGTTCGTTACCCTAGACCTAACCCTAACCCATCATAACAGCAAAACTTTCTGGGGAAAACAGTATGAATGTGTATAATGCTTACGTTTTGCCTGGTGTGTGTTTGTTAAAACAATCGGTCAGTTAAAACTTAGTTATAGAATAGTCTAAGTAAAGTAAATGGAACGGAGTGACCTAGCGTCTCGGGTTCAAGCCAGTAAACCGTCCCTGAGTCCGCCCAGCTCTGATGGGTACCTAACTCAAGTTAGGGTAAGTAAAGGCGGCTCGGCATAGCGCTGCCCACACTATCCCTTCATTTGCCGAGGTTACAGAAACAAGTGAACTCTACTTCACTTGCCCCGTAGACAGTCAATGAGTCATGCTTGAAAGTGAACTTTACTTCACTTTCCTAAATAAAGTTAAAGTCTAACAAAACTTAATGTTTATGAGTTAATTCAATGCCAACCAATATTTACCAACACATCAAGAGTCAGTTAAATATAAGACTGTCAAATTGTTTAGAAATTTGACTGCAAAAAAAATATTGAGATATATTCAAAATCTATCGGTAAAATAGACAGTGAGTTTTAAGAAAAATGCTTCTAACTCTTCTGTTGTGGAAGTTCACACAAGCATTCAGTTCAGCACACGATACATTTGATGTTCTTAACTTAGCTTTGGGAATTACAAAGGAAATGCGTAGTTGGTTGTTTAGCGTGTTTTGCTTTCTCATATATTAAACTATAAAGGAGGTATTGCAATCGTGCAAAATATCGAAATCAAAATTTTTAAAAATCTTGACGTTTTACACCTCCCTGAATTGGAAAAACTTATTTTTGAAATTTTGCCCATTTGTCGTTCTCTTTCTTGTGTGTGTGTGTATGTCAGGGGTGGAACTACCATACCGCCAGACCCCGCAATGCGGGGGGGGGGGGCCAGGACGTTTAGGGGCCCAGTTCCGACCAAAAAACAATGAATTTTTTTTTCAAAAGTTATGTTTTTCATGCATCTTGAAAGTGGTTTTGTAAAAAAAAAAAACAGGTCTACTATAGCAGAGATTGTTGCGTAGAAAAATATTTTAAAATATACAAGAGCTATAGTTTGAAAGGTAGGTAAACATTCACACTACTTCCAAGCCTTACTGCCCTTCTTTAAAATAGGGATGCCCACGAAGCTCATTTAAATAGTTTTGTACTATGTATATTAAAAAGCAATTGATTCTCTGAATTGTTACTTAAATAAGACGTACTATACAATAGTATGGCTATAAAAATCAATGTTTTCAAAATTGATATTATAAAACCCAAAAATGAAAAAAATAAACATAACGCGAGAAACCATTCACGAATCAAGCTAACGTCTTTATATATTTTTGACCAGCAAAATTATGTTACATCCCTAACTCAAATTGAGTGTAGACTAAATTTTTCTGTTTTGTTCACTCAGAATGGTTATATATTGCAATGAAGTAGACTAAATTATTCACTCAGGATATAGATTTTGTATATATATATATATATATATATATATATATATATATATATATATATATATATATATATATATATATAGGGGGCCCTAGTTTTTTCTTTGCGGGGGAACCTTTGATTTCTAGTTCCGCCACTGGTGTATGTGTGTGTGTGTGTGAAAAAGATACACTGAGTACCGTTAACGCTATGTAGCTATGTTGATGAAATTTCATATAAAAGTATTTTATCAAATGTGTAGTTCTGTATTAAACTTTCAGCGATTTCCTGTACACGGAAGTGGAACCTTTTCTGTCTTGTGGTGATACAGATCTACAGTTAATCAATGTAAGTTGTTCATCAGTATTAGCTGTGTTCTTTAACCCTGGACTATATGTGTTAGTCGTATGGCGATACAGATCTACAGTTGATCAATGAAAGTTGTTCATCAGTATCAGCTGTGTACGCACGTCCTTGAGTTTGGTTGGACTTGCTGTAAGATTGCAGGAATTTTTCCAAATGTTTCATCTGAGTTGGTTTGTTATCATATCCAGTCAGAAATGTCAGTCCGTCAAGCTACATAATCTACCTTACCTTCTTCTTCTTCGTTCTTAATTTTTAGTCTTGGAAGGGATCGAGCCTTATCTGCCCGAGGGTTCGAACTCGAGACTTTTCGGTTTAGCAGCCATGAGCTTTACCGACTCCTATCTACCTTACCGTTTTATGTCAATTTACGTCCTACACCTTGTAGTATAATCGCCAAGACGCCAACATACTTTACACAGAAAAACAGCAACTAACAAGGTATTTTACAAATGCATGTGATTAAAAAAAAGTAAACAACCCTCTTTAGACCTAGCGATCCATTAGGCAGATGAAGTAGAGTTCATGTCTCTTTACCTCGGCATAAGAGGAGAAGGTGGGGTCAGCACTTTGCTCAGTTGTCTTAACTTTACCTAACGTGAGTTAGATACTCTTAGTTCCACTAACATAATGCATGCGATGATGAAAGAACATTTTAAATATATTTAATATTTATCAGTGGTTTTACTCGAGTTATTTAAATGATTTTAAAGTACGAATATTAAATTTAAATAAAGAAATTTAAATTTTATAAAATGTGCATATAAAAAGTAAAATACAGTTAATAGGTTATCACTATATCTTACATTTATTTTGTATATAATATTAAGTAATAGTAGAAAATATGTATGCTTTTAAAGACCAAATTTAAAATAAAAATTAGAATAATTGACTTTACGCTTTACAAATCGGTAGTACTTTAAGATTCATCATATAAGCACAAAAAAAGAGTTTAAAATATATTTTTAAATGATTAGGTATTTAGTCACATTTCTAAATGAAATAAAATATTTAGTGGTTTTGACATATCGAAAGTCCACTAATCATCCGGGGTTATCATCCTAATCCAGTTGAATATTATGAAAGACAAGATTTTGGTAGCACAACTGGAATACAAGTGGAGCAGGCCAGACTCATTTCACTGTACAAAATTGAATGAAACATGTCTAATGCACACACAAAGTTGTCCCTTGTATTTCTTTCAGGGTTGTAGTAAAATATGTGCAGTTTATAACCGTAAACGACAGCTCCGTACAGATCGTGGTCTAAACTCCACAGTTTTGCTACATAATTGAATCTGATATTTTCACTCGTTACTCTCAAAACCCACATGTTGCCGTTTGTTTGCAGCACAAAGTGGTTGTCGTCGTTACGAAAACTGATGATGTTTTTAGCTGGTCCATTAAGGTTGTCCAGTTTTGTCCAGCTTTTCTCCTGAAGGTCTAACATATGGACGGCTGTTTCGTTGATGCCATTGACAGTTTCAGTACAGAAGTAGACGAGATAAATTTGATAGCTCATAACATGCGTTACACCAGAATTTACAGGAAGGGTTGTAAATTTTTCGACATTAGTAGTTTTACATTTGGGATTTAATCTAAATACATGTGTTTCGCCTTCCACAAAGCATGTAACGTATATGAATTGTTCGTTGCTTGCTAGTAAAACGTCTACTGCCGGCATCGCCGACACAACTGACCATGAGTTTTTAGTGTAAACGAACATGTTACTTTTATTCTGAAAAAAAAATTGTATACCAGTGGCGTAGAACTCAGTGTCAAAAACAATCATCTGAGTGTTTCTGTTTAACCAGACACATTCCTTCAGAGTATATTTTTTCCCATCACAAGGATCCACTATTACGAACCTCCGAGAAGCGTATGAAAAGTAAACAACATAGTTCCCATACTCATGAAACTGTCTGTAAATACCCTCTGTCGGCCATTGTCCATGACGAAAAGACATCTGTTTTACGAGAGATGAGACGATTATCTGACGTGCTTTATCGTTACGTTTAATGAGACGATGTTCTAAAACATTCATAAGTAAACACGGGCGAATAACACAGACTCTTACTTGACTCAGTAACACATCAAGTTCATCAAATCTTTCCGTACTAACATTTTTCGAACTGTTGGATTTCGAGTCCGAGTGTATCGAATTCACATTAACTGGAGTTGACGACTTGATCTTTTTATTGTTTCCCGGGGCGTTCCATGTCTCTTCAGAATTGTTAAAATGAGGTTTGTATTCAGCCCATTTTAAGACCATCTCTAGAACAGGATATTCACTGTCAAAATGAAGTTCGTTACTGCTAAGTAAACAAAACATTTCATCGCATGCTAACTCTAAGTATAGTTTGGTTTCATAAATAGTAGTAAAATTTTGGAGCATGAAACGTTTGACTGACGACTGCACTGATATAGAGTCGAACAACTTAGCACTAAAGAAGATTTCTCTGAAGTTTTCAATATTTATGTTTTTAGCAGCGAATGATTCACATAACTCTACAAGAAAGCCAATTTGAAGCATGTGTACAGCGTGCCAGATTTCTATGAAGTTGTCAAGACTCAACATGTCTTCACCGGTGTACAAAGTTTTCAGGATTAACTGAAAGGTGGAGACTGATACATTTTGTAGAACTACATGTCCCTCGTTGGCTTCTTTCATTTCTGACTGCAGCAGCCCGAGAAAAAATGGCGAGCACGCTCCAAGAATAATGCTATGACATTTGATAGACACGTCATCGATTTGTATTGTAAAGTTACAAAGTTTTTCCTCAATCCATAGTTTTTCAAGACTTTTGCATACTTTATTAGAAAGTGACATTCTTAATGTTGGGTTTTCATCTTTGTAACAAACAGTATTAAGGTTCTATAGCATATATTCTAATCTGAAAGTTAAAAAAAAGATGTTAATTTAGCATTACAAGGTATTTTTTAATCTATAAAATATATGTTTAAAAAAATAAAACATGTAAAATGCAAAATGTAAATACTTCAAATATTCAATACGGATTACGAAATGAATTGATAAATATAAATGATCCATAGTGAATTATTACTGGTTATGTTTTATAGCTATGAGATCCTAACTCCTTAATGGGCATTTACGAAATTTGTTGCTCGGACATCACACAGTACTTTTTAAAATGTTGCAACATCCAACATATTTTTTGAGCATGCTGTAATATTTCGTTGATCAATGGGGATTACTTAAAATCTAAATCACATTCTTAAAATACATATGCACCTGGGTTTATTTTGTTATTTATTAGCCATAACGAAACATTTTGTCTTCTAGTCGACCCAGGTAATATTTAGTGAAGTAAGAATCGGAGTTGTAGCTAGGGTTATATATAAGACTATGATTACATAGTTCTCAGTTACGTCTGATGCTAGTAGGAAATTAAAAGATAGAATAGTACACATGTCATCAAACACTCACACCGACAATTCAGTACAAGTTCAATACCTAACCAAAGCGCAAACGTATGAATGTTAAAGTTCACAATATCATTAAATCTAAAGTTTAAACAATTGGGGATAGTCGTGTTTGACGAGAAAAGTTCATCCTTATTGTTGTTTTTTGTTCCATTTTTGCCATCAAAAAACTAAAAAAAAAACTAAGCTTAAAAATAATTCAGATATTTAAAATTTTTAGAATCAGTGTTATAAAAGTAAGTTTCAATGTTTTGAAGTTAAGGCTATATTTCCATTTAATTTCATCAACCCTCGATTATACCCTGAAGTTTAACTTTCATAGCATTGATTAGCTCTACAGGAACTCTGTGATTGATCTTCTAAATATATGACTGTAGTAATTTGTTCTCAATACTTTACAGATAAAATTTGTATACAAAATAACATTTGTTTTTTAACAACATGACCTTTTGCAGCAATGTTTGTTGATATTTTAGCAACAAAATGAAAACAACCAAATTGTTTTTGGCTGCTTAAAAATTGTGTTTACTTACCCAAAAATAATAAAAACATCAAATGTATCAAATCTTGAGTAAACTCAACAAAAACCTCACAAATAGTTATTATATATATATATATATATATATATATATATATATATATATGTTTATATATATTCTAATAGCACCGCACGCGATTTTAAAAATATTTAATGCACGATTCAAGTCTATTTACGACTGCCTCCATGACTTAACTCTTATATTTTCGTAGATCTCATAATCTGTTGATCTACTAGATGTACATACGACAACGTTAATTTATATACCTCCAGGTCAAACACAAATGATCCTGGCACTAATGTTTAACCGTATTTATTATAAACTTATATTCATTTAATTACCCTTTTTAAATGTTGATAGGTACACCGATCAGAAGATTTTCAATATTGTCAGATAAGTTCGGAAGTAAACAAACTAAATACCATGATGCGTCTTTTTTTAGAAGTGCTTGGTTGGTGCGACCTAATTAATGCATGCTAATCTAATTATAATCGTGCGCAAAATGTGTTATCCTAAAGCAATATTAATGGTAAAATAAATAAAATTTCTGAAAATAACTTTTTAACGTTTTCTTTAAAAGACTTTTTAAGTCATCATAGAGACGATGTAATGCTTAAAATTTTGTCGATTTCGTTTAGTAGATTATGGAATGATTTTCGCACTGTTAATATTTCGATTTTTTAAATCAATATTATTTTTTGCTATAAACAGATTGTTTTCATTAAAACTTAACCGAAGTTAATTAAGTAAAATAATGGGTTTTCTTGCCGTTTCTCTAATTGCTTGTCGTAGAGACTGTGCCATTCACTGTACTGTCTATCGTGTCAATTGGCTTATATTTTTTATATTGTCAACGTTAAATTCACATATTTTTTTAACATAATTTATTTGTGTTGGTACATTTTGTAGTCTTTTATTTCGGCCTAGTCAATATGTCTGGGTCCGCTGCATTGGCAATGAATAATGTAATTTTTGTTTTTTTCCCTGTCTATTCAAGTGCTCCGTGAGCGCAACAAGAGAATTAAAATGACTCTTCACTATTTGATTTAAAATTCGTCTTGGTCAAAAAAGTCAATATTATTTGGTGACGAACAGACCTCTTTTCTACATAAATATTACTGTAGTAACCTATATAGAATCTAGCTACAGCTAAGTGTTTGACTAAAAACCATCTAAACCCTCGAGAGTTAGCCTGGTCCGTAGGGCAGATGAAGTAGATTTTATCCAGTTCTGTGACCTTGGTGTATGGGGTGTATATTGTGATAAGCACTATGTCCGGCTGTTTTTGATTTCCCTAACGAAAGCCAGTGCAGAACTTGGCGGACGGCTGGTTGTAAGTTAAATTTTTAAAAACTAAAAAAGTGCATTAAAAACGTTTTAGTAACAAGCTTTTATGTAATAATGCACTAAACAGGAGAAAATAAAGGATTTTCTTTAATATATAATAAAACATTATCATTTAAATAACTATAAAGAAAAGTGTGGGTCACTTTATTATCTATTGCATACCTTTACTATTATTTAGGAAGAGACCCACGCTTTTCTTTATAGTTATTTAAATAGTAGTGTACAATTTATTTTCTACTTTTTAGTGCATTATTACATAAAAGCTTGTTATTAAAATGTTTTTTATGATTTTTTTTTCAGTACTTTAATTTTTTTTTTAATAAAATATAGTTGCATGACTAAAATCTAATGAACATAATAATGCGCGTATAACAGTGCGAAATAGTTGGATATGCTTAATAATTTGGACAAAATTTTAATTATTTCATAAAAAAATTAATTAGGCATTTAGTTAAGTTAAATTTAATGAAAGATTGCATTGTCTACATGTCTTGACCCACGTGCCAATTTTGAAACGAATCTGTTAGTAACAAGTGCCCAAAATTTCGTTCGACCGTTTCTATCTATGACGACATATAGACAGACTGTATGAGAAAACAAGTAAATACTATCTTGTAAAAAGAACAGAAATTCAAAAATATTTTAAATGTAGAATTGTGAGGAATATCTTCTTTAATTTTAATGCCGCAAACGATTTTATTCAAGTCGAAGCTAGAATATCGCATTAAAAATTGATGTAGTTAGTAAAAGTATAATGTGATGTAGCTTTACCAAAAATGTCAATTACTCTTCAAAACCATTTTTTCATTTCTATCAAATTTCGTAATCAGTATTTCTGTTTTATTTTGATATTAATAGTTACCACGTGTACGTTAAACATGTGCAGTGTATGTATCTATTTTATTGAAACGGTGTATACAATTGTTTAAAATGTAAAACATGGTAATATTACATTTATCGTGATGGTTTTCTAATGAACATAAGGTAAAAATTGTATCATTTCTTAATACTTAAGGGTTATCATCTTTTGCACTAGTTTAACAATATTACTGGATTATGTTGCAAGTATAAAACGTTACAAAATATCATGCTAGACATCCCGGTATTATAAACATTCTGAAAGACAATATTTAGGCAGAACAACAGGAATCAGTTTTGAATACGGAGAAGATAACTCATAAAAACTAAATGAATCAAAAGCATTGCCAACTCTATAGACAATTCTCTTTTCTGGACCCTGTTCTAGACATTTGTGAAAGATGACCAGTTTTTCACCATACAAGAGTGCTCCAAACAAATCGTGGTGTAAACTCCAAAGTTCAGCTACAAGACCAAATCTGATGTGTTTACCCGTTGATCTCAAAACCCACAAGCTGCCATTTGTTTGTAGCACAAAGTGGTTGTCGTCGTTACGAAAACTGATGATGTTTTTAGATGGTCCCTCGAGGTTGTCCAGTCTTGTCCAGCTTTTGGCATGAAGGTCTAACATATGGACGTCTGTGTCAGCACAGAAGAAGATGAGGTAAATTTGGTAGCTCATGACATGGGTTACACAACTATAAACTGGTACAGTTGAAAATTTAATCAGACTGGGAGGATTACATTTTGGGTTTAATCGATATATTACCTTATCCAAAACACTTGTAACATAAATGTATTCTCCATTGCTTGCTAGTAATGTACTTGCTCCTTGGATCTCCGCTACATGCGTCCATGTGTTATCCCTGAAAACAAACATGTCACTTGTAATCTGATATGCAAATTGTCCTCCAGTAGCGTAGAGCTCCTTGTCAAAAGCAACTAGCTGGATGTTGCGACATAACCGGGGACAGGACGTTAGAGTGTACCTTTTTTCATCAAGCGGATCGATCAACAAGAATTTCCCAGAACCGTTCATGCAACTAATACCATAGTTACCGTACTCTTGACATTGTCTGTATACACCAGCTTTTGGCCACTGGCCGTGACGGAAAGACATCTGTCTTAAGAGAGCTGAGACGATTATCTGACATGCTTTATCATTACGTTTAATGAGACGATGTTCTAAAACATTCATAAGTAACTCGGGGCATATAATACAAGTTCTTACTTGACTCAGTAAGATGTTGAGTTCATCAACTCTATCAGAGCTAAGATTTGTGCTAACATTTTCTGAAGAAGTGGAATCTAAATCGCAAATAAACATGTCGTCTTCTGTCCTTTCAATGGAATCATAAAAGAATTCAACTATACGCTGGTTGTCATTGCCAATAGTGTCTGCACACATGGTAGTTTTGTCTTCTAAACTGTTAAGCTGTGTATATTTCAAGCTGGCATAGCTTAAACTACTAACTGGTTCTAATGTTTTTAATTTTTTATTGTTTTCATTGCAGTTGTTTACCGCTTTAGAAACTCTAACAGCAATTTTGTATTCAGCCCAGTTTAGAATCAACTCTAGTACAGGATGTTCGCTGTTGAAATGAAGGGCATGACTGCTAACTATAAAACACATTTCATCAAAAGATAATTCTAAGAAACGTTTAGATGTATAAATAGATTCAAAGTTCTGAATCATGAATGTTTTCACCGACGACAGCACTAATTTAGAATTAAAGAGATTGGCAGTGGAGAAGATTTCACTGAAATTTTCTAGTTTTATGTTTTGAGAAGCGAATGTTTCACATAAGTCTACAAGAAATTCAATCTGCAGCATATCTACAGCGTGCCAGATTTCGATGAAGTTGTCAAGACTCAACACGTCTTCACCGGTGTACAATGTTTTCAAGATTAACTGAAAGTTGGAGGCTGATACATTTTGTAGAACTACAAGTCCCTCGTTGGCTTCTTTCATTCCAGATCTCAGCAATCCAAGAAAAAACGGCGAACAGGCCGCCAGGATAATGCTATGACATTTGATGGACACTTCGCCGATTTGAACTGTAAAATCACAACTTTCTTCCCATAATTTATTTAGACAGTTACTCACTTTCTGAGAGATGGACATTCTAAAAGCTAAGGCTTGGTTGTTCTTAATACTAATACTTTTAAAATAATATCTTCGTTCTATTGAAAAAGAATAGCCAGGTTGATTTTTTTTGTATACTTTTGAACCTGAAAATAAAAAAAAATATACAAGTGTAAAATTTAGCGTAATTTTGAAATTTAAATTATTTTAGTTAATAAATTGATACCTATTTGGGTGAATTTAAAAATATTTCAGATGCGTTGGAAATATAATATGTAATATGTTATGACCTATAGGAAGTATAATAATATAATATAACATGCAAATTAAAAAAAGCAAAATATAAAATATTTTGAGAACAGGGCATTACTATCCTCGCCGTCAATTACCCTCCCCCCCGGACGTTTCCCCCATCATTACCCCCGGAGTAATTCCCCCCCCCCCCCCGCCCCCCGCAATCCAGTAGGACATTACCCCCAGACATAGCTTAAGTTTGAGCTAGGGTTTGAGTTTGGGCTATGTAGAGGGCTAGGTTTAGGGTTAGGGTTAGGGTTAGTTTTAGTGTTAGGATCATGGTTAGGCTTAAATCATCGTCTGGAGTTGGGTTTGGTTTTCGGTTTAATTTAGGGTGAGGTTAGGATTAAGGTAATTTATAAGTATACAGTTGGATCGGGGAGGGGGGGGGGGGTAATTTCCCAGGGGGTAATTGACAGGGGCGGGGGGGGGGGGGGGGTAATTGCTCCGGGGGGTGTAAATACAGGGGGGGATTTTCAAGGGGAAATGTCCGGGGGGAGTAATGTCCTTTAGCCAATATATTTTATACGACATATTAAATATATATTGACTGACGCAGTATGTACCATATTGTTGTATTACAGGTTTATAGACTGTTTTACAACTTTTATGATCTCACTTGTAAATTAATGGTAAATACTTTACATTGATGATGTAGTTCTTTTTTGAAGTTTTAAATATTGCGTGATCCAATAAAACTGTGATTTTGAAATGTAGTTTGTTAGATATCTTTTTTATATTTCATTTTGTTAAAATGCATGTTATGCACCTGGATATACCAGGCATAACGAGATTTTTAAAATGATTGACTACAAAGATATTGTAAGGAGTCTTGGTTCAGCATGGGTCACAGATTTGGTCATGATTTGGATCAGCTTTTGTGTCCAGTTTATTCGTTTGCTGTAGCTTTAGTGAAACGTTAAATGGCGATTACATGTCGTTGGTTCAACACCACTCATAATAATATAAAGTTTCCCTCTAACTTGCTATTCTACGGAGGCTGATGAAGTAGAGTTCAATTGTTTCTGAGAGTCAGAATAATGCCAGGCTGCATTTACGTTGGTTGGACGCAAGGACTGTAGTGAATGAGTGAAGGGGGTGAATGTTGTTGTACCTGTTACCCTATTACGTTCGTCTTTGTTCAGTTCTCGTGCTGTGAGTTGGTATAATCAGTTTGTTTCCAGTTTACGAAAGGGTATATAAGGTGTATGAAAAATTGTGTAAGTGCCTCAGATCTCCAAGGTTACTGTAGGTTAGATCGATACTAGTATTTAGCCACTGTATCTTTTTACTAGCTTATGTATTTTGTGTTTTGAATAGACTGTTAGGTGTAGTTAGAGTAGATATTATTAAATTATTTTTTTTTCCACGAGACTTTGTTTCATTAAGTCTTGTTTTGTAACCAGTTTGTGGTTGTGTGTCTTATGTGTTGCGCTACCTTTTAGTTTTAACGAGCCTTTGTTTCATTCAGTCTAGTTTTGTAACCCGTTTGTGGTTGTGTGTCTTATATGTTGCGCTACGCATCGGATCACCAGTAGGTCGTGTCCGTGTGTTCACAACAAGGACGTTCTAGAAAACTCGAAACTTCTGTGTCGGCAGTCGTACACTCTACTACCAACCAACTCTGGTCGTATATTAATAGAAACCATAACGTAGGTTTACGTTTAATTCGTTGTATTTGTAATAATTAAGTGTAAAAGAATATAAATGCTGCACTCATAATTATACAAGTAAACTATGCCTTCTTTAATATGAAGACGATGCTTCGATGTTTTTTTTTTAGATGTTATTCGATCTAGATCTAGATCTAGACTAGGTCCGAAGTAAACAGCATAAAATTTAGGGTAGGTTTTTTTTTAAAAAGCACTTTAGTGGTGCGGTGTGAATAATTAGAAATAAAATCAAAGTTGAAAAAAATTCAGTGCGCAAATGTTTAATGCTAAAGGAAAATTAAATCTAGACTAGACTATTCGTTATCCTTGGATACTTGTGGGTTTCGGGGGTCATCTATAAATATGTTTTTAAAACACAGATTTCGACTAAGCATGGGTCTGACCAAATAATTATTTAATATTCGGAGGTCACAGAAACAGGTGAACTCTACTTTACCTGTCCCATGTCCCGCCAACTCACGAAAGGCAACTTTATCTTTCACATATAAAAAAAAATTCACACCTCAGCCCACATGTTTATGTCTTTTGATGGGTTTGGCTTCGGTAAAAAAAAAAAAAAAAAAACTTTATTTTTTTATACTAGAGAGCAAACATTTGTTTTTTTTTCTCTATAGCTTTTTAAAGATATATCCGCATATGTATTTCCATTGAAAAAATGTGTTGGTAAATTCTTGGTAACTATGACAATACCGGCCCTCTTGAAAAAACCCTCTTCGTAGGATTTCCACCTTTCATAAAGTATTATATTTTAAGCCCTATAAACAATGAATTCATAATCTCTTACCATATTTTGGGGTAGTCTACTCAGTTAAAATTTTATGTTGAGATCTACAAATCAATTTATTATGGAATTTCAAATTGCGGGGCACGTTACAAACACTGAATTCAATGCATTGATTCTAAACAAAGTACATTTCTGAATTATTTTTAGGTTTATTTTATTTTTATTTTTATTATTGTTACGGTCGCTTTCATTGCAAACAATAAAAAAGCAAATTTTAAATCCATGCCAACAATACGATGGAAGGATTCTCGTCAACTCGGTGATCTCGATCGGCAATAATTGCGTGTGTTGTGATTTCCCATTATGCATTATCTTTGAGGGAACATTAAAACAAAAAAATGAAACATGACACGATGTGTTTTAAACCCGTACTACCTACATGGTGTCTATTACACTATCGTCTCGGCCAGCTAGCTACATATCATTCCGGTGAAAATATATTGAGTTATTTTACTTAAGTCAGCGTAGGAAAATTACGTGTATATTTTTAAAAATTAAATTGTGTCCTAATTTAGCTAATTTCACTTCTAAAAAATAAAAGATTTATATAAAATATTTAAGGCCTTAAATACTTTAGTGAAAAAAAACTCAAGTGTTCATTATGTTATTGGCTTAGAGTTAGATTGTAGATCCAGATAGATTCTACAACAGGCGAAAAATTTCTAATGGATTAGGGATTGAAATTGTATTCGATGATCATTAATTTTAGTGTAATATTTGCAACACATTAATTTAGTTACATACAACGTTAAAAAATGGAATTACTTTGCGTTGAATATAAATGTTACAATTTTCGCTCACGTGAGTATTTTACATTGTAAATACATTTCAGATCTGGGGTCGATACGCCTCTGCCCCCCCCCCCCCCCCATCCTTCTACCCCAACAGTATCTCGCTGTTTCGTCGAATTTATTACACTGGTTATTTTAACACTGCAACCAAAAAAAAGAAACACTATTTACATTATATTGTAATTTTAGATAAAAAAGAATGATGATTAAAATTAGCAAGAGTAAAGCTTATTATTCGTTAGTATCAGTGGCGTAGCGAGGTCGGGTGTCACCTGGTGCGGCACTTAATGGTGTCACCCCCCGCTCAGAAGCGTAGCGACACTTTCCGGGGACAAACTTTCGATTTGCAACCCCCCCCCCAAACGTTCGATGTGCACCTCCCCCACCTCAAGCATTCTATTTGCACCCCCCCCCCCCTCAAATTTTTCTCTATATATTTTGCTATTTTTTTGCCTTGGTGTCATCCCGTAAATGGTGTCACCCGGTGCAGTCCGCACCCTCCGCCCCCCCCCCCCCCTCGCTACGCCTCTGGTTAGTATTACAATAGGGGTTAAATATAGTGTAGTAATTAAACATCATTTATTCTTTTCGAAAACCTATCCGTAATTAAATTAGGCATATTTTAAGATATTTTCGCCTCTGTGTGCTATTGACAAACGTACAAATATTTTTGTAGCCATATTATACTATTAAGTGCCTTTCCACTACTTTTTGTAATATACAATTATAATGGAGAGTTTGGGGAAGCCCACTCCAGCTTCAATCTGTATATGTAAGGTTTTAGAATATTTTTAAAAAAAAAAAAAAAAAAAGAAATTTGAAAAAACAAAGAGCAGACATTTAAAAACCTTTTCAATGTAGAATTGTGCTGAATACCTACTATAAAATAAATACATTAAATTATTTTATTAAATTAAGTCAAAGCTGAAATATCGCTTGAAACGCTTTAAAACTAGATGTGTACGTAATAAAATATAATTTGATGTAGTCCTACCTTTTTCACTAACATTAATTACCCTTTATAGTCCATTTAAAAACCATTTGTTTGTTTTCCTTCATTTTTTGTGTACAACATTTCAGTTCTATTTTGATATACAATTGTGTAAAATCTAAAACACAGTATTATTCAGTTTATCATGCTGTTCTTCTAATGAAAATATGCCATAATACTTAAATTGTATAAACCTAATACTTAATAGTTGTCATATTTGCACTATTTAAACAATATTACAGGATTATATTGCAAGACTTAGTATAAAACATTACAAAATATCATGCTAGACATCCCGGTATCATTAAAATTCTGAAAGACAAGATTTAGGCAGAACAACAGGAATCAGTTTTGAACACATAGAAGCTAATTCACTGTAACTGATTAATTGAAAAACATTGTCAATTTTATAAACGAAATTGTCATCAGGGCCATTTTCAAGATATTTGTAAAAAATGACCAATTTTTCACCGTAAACGACCGCTCCGCACAGATCGAGGTCTAAATTCCAAAGTTTCGCTACATAAGTGAATCTGATGTTTTCACCAGTCACTCTCAAAACCCACAAGTTGCCGTTTCTTTGCAGCACAAAGTGGTTGTCGTCGTTACGAAAACTGATGATGTTTTTAGCTGGTCCATTGAGGTTGTCCAGTTTTGTCCAGCTCTTGGCCTGAAGGTCTAACATATGGACAGCCGTTTCCTCGACGCCATTGCCTGTTTCAGTACAAAAGATCAGTAGGTATATTTGATAGCTCATAAAATGTTTTACAACAGAGCCTTCTGGTAGAGTTGAAAATGTACTTATACAGGGGGGATTACATTTGGAATTTAATCGATATATTGTCTCTTCCGAAACGCTTGTTGCATATACGTATTGTTCATTGCTTGCTAGTAATATATCAGTTCCTGGGACCTCGGCTACATGTGTCCATGTGTTATCCCTGTAAACAAACATGTCACTTTCAGTCATATTGGCATACCTTGAGCTTGTGGCGTAGAGCTCTTTGTCAAAAGCAGATATTTGGACATGCCAGCATAACGTTTTACATGACTTGATTGTGTATCTCTTCTCATCAACTAGATCGATCAACAAGAATTTCCCAGTACCGTTCATGCAGCTAATGCCATAGTTACCGTACTCTTGACATTGTCTGTATATACCAGCTTTTGGCCACTGTCCGTGACGGAAAGACATCTGTTTTAAGAGAGCTGAAACGATTATCTGACATGCTTTGTCGTTATTTTTAATGAGTCGATGTTCTAAAACATTCATTAGTAAACTTGGGCATATAATACACATTCTTACTTGACTCAGTAAGATGTTGAGTTCATCAACTCTATCAGAGCTAAGATTCTCCGATGAGGTGGGATCAAATCTAAAAGTGCTAAAATTTTCTGAAGTGATGGGTTCTAAATTGCCAAACCAGCTAACCGCGCGTTTTGACCTCTGAATCGAATCATAAGTTATTATTGTAACATTCCTATTTTTACTAATATTAGTTTCCATAACAGAGGTAGATTTGTCTTCTGAGCAGTTAAGCTTTATATATTTTGAGCTAGCATTACTCAAACTATTATCTTGTTCTAATGTTTGGAACTTGTTATTGTTTCCAGTGCAGTTGTTTGTTGAATCCTCAACTACAGGTTTGTATTGAACCCAGTTTAGAACCATCTCTAGTACGGGGTATTCAGTTCTGAAATTAAGAGCATGACAGCGAACAATATCACTCATTTCATCAAATGAAAATTCTAAATAGAGTTTGTCTCTACAAATATCTTCAATGTTCTGGGTCATGAACTTTTTAACTGACGACAGCAATGTTTTAGAATTAAAAAGGTTAGCAACGGAAAATAATTTTCTGAAATTTTCCAATTGTATGTTTTTAGCAGCGAATGATTCACATAACTCTACAAGAGATCCAATCTGCAGCATATCTACAGCGTGCCAGATTTCTATGAAGTTGTCAAGACTCAACACGTCTTCGCCGGTGTACAAAGCTTTCAGGATTAACTGAAAGGTGGAGACTGATACATCTTGTAGAACTACATGTCCCTCGTTGGCTTCTTTCATTCCAGATCTCAGCAGTCCAAGAAAAAATGGCGAACTCGCTCCTAGAATGACGCGATGACACCTTATGGACACCTCATCTATTTCAACTGTGAAGTCACAAAGTTCTTGATCCGCCCATATTTTATTCAGATTTTGACACATTTTCTCGGAGAGTGACATTCTGATAACTTCGACTTCAGCTGTTCTTGTAACGTATATTTGAAACTATCTTTGTCGAACGAAAAAAAATTAGTTGGATGTTTCGTAAAATTTATACATTTGGATAGTCGAAAACGATTGCAAGTTTGAAATGACACAACCCTTTTTATCTTTTTAATTTTATTATTTCAAATATATAATAATGTACTTGGTTATATACTGTATAACAGGAGATTTTAAAATATATTTTCTACCTAGAAAACTTGATGATTGGATTATTCAGGATTACACAAGATGTTAATATAGTCCATTTGGCTTCAAACACTACATGCAAATACCAAGTTTCCACATTGAACTTGGTGGTCTGTTTATCATGTAAAGTATAGTTTACATGTTTCTGTTTCTATCGGCTTATAAGGCGATAGTGTAGTAGAATTACACCAGGCTGCCTGTACTTTATCTAACGTAATTCAGGTAGGCATCGATTGTGGGTAGTGAATTAATATGAACTCGACACCACCGCTCTACCAGCAAACTATTAATAGCAACACTAATATTAAACAAAGTTTTGAGACTTAATATATCCAGCGCTACATCATTTAAACGTTGTACGAATCTCAACTTTTAACCCTAATTTTTACAAGGACTTCGATGTTATTTGTTTGCTGTTGTTAGGTCGGATTTAAGCAGAATGTCAAATACGTTTTTTTAAGAGTTCTTGTGGTGCGGTATAAAAGATTAAAATAAAGCGCATGTTTCATGTTTTTACGTGCGCAATGTTTGAAACTGAATGTAGAGTCAAGGAAATCTGTCGCTTTCAGTTTAACTAGACCTATAACTACGTCTAGATACACATAAAATATTTCGAAGCCAGCTAAGGTTAAAGTAATAATAAATAAATCTTTTTAAACATGAGCATATTTTAAGATATTTATATAGATAAGTAAATCATGAAGCAACGTTTAGACCAAACTGTTCTGCAAGTTACTTTTACATTGTTGTTTAAAATTAATATCTTTAAGGTAATTAAAACCGCAGCCGTTGTAAAGAAATTGACGAAACTTTTCCTTTCGCATGAGCTTCAAAATATGTTGTTTTTTTGCCTTGAAATGTGTCCACCTATTTTAAAAGCTAAGCGTTTTCTTTTTTTACTTGCTAACGGGTTGTAGATAAATTATTGCAATGCTGTAAATAATCGGGTTGACAAATCACGACGATTCTCTCCGTTTTAAGTTGGGACATAATTGTCTGTTTCTCTCTCTCTCTCTCTCTCTCTCTCTCTCTCTTCCCTCTCTCTGTCTTTGATTTAATGAGTGAATCTAAACACAATAACACGAGCACCATCTTAGTTACATTTTTAAAATGTTCCTAAAAAGCCTTTAAAAAGCGGGAGTGATCTCTCATAAACTTTCTCGAAAACGCGACAAAACAACTCGTAATTATATTTGGTCCTAGGACCTTTGACCACAGGTGCTTTGACCATAGGGGGTTTGACCATAGGTGGTTTGACCACAGCGGAGCTTTGACCATAGGGGCTTTGACCATAGGGGGTTTGACCACAGCGGTGCTTTGACCATAGGGGGTTTGACCATAGGTGGTTTGACCACAGCGGAGCTTTGACCATAGGGGCTTTGACCATAGGGGGTTTGACCACAGCGGTGCTTTGACCATAGGGGCTTTGACCATAGGGGGTTTGACCATAGCGGTGCTTTGACCATAGGGGGTTTGTTCATAGGGGGTTTGACCATAGGGGGTTTGACCACATGTGTTTTCTCAGCAGAGGGTCTTTGATCCAAGCGCAGGCATGATTTAAATAACTCACTTAAATAAACCAGGAGTGATCTCCCCTAAACTTTCTCGATATTTTTATATAAAATAACAGGGGATGGAAACTCACACACACACACAGACACACAGACACACAGACATACGGACAAGATTGCAAAATTATGTTTCTCCGTATCAGTGAGATGTAAAACGTCGAGATTTTTAAAAATCTCGTTTTTTTTTTTGCACGATTACAAGACTTTCTCTATACTTCGTATATACGAGAAAGTAAAAAATTAAGGTCAAGAGTCTAAGAATATAGGATTGATAACGCATGGATAGAATCCTTCTTCTATATTTCGTCGGACTTTCTTCTATTCCCGCGGCAACTTGCGGGGATGGGTACGCTAGTAGTAAATAAATTTATGAAATTCTGAAATTGTTTTTTGTTAGGAGACCAGAAGTGTACCTATTAATTCAATACATAAATAATTACAATGGTAGTTTTTCTTAATGTAATCCTTAAAAACAATGAATATCGTTTCAAGAAGCATAAACACTGATATTTGTCAGTAAAACTGATCATGGTTTAACACGGCGTCGACAATTATATGGCTGAAAGATTTGTTTTCTTAAACCAAGTACATTTTACGGACACGAGGTAAAACAGCAGGACTTACAAGACATGTCCTTACAGTCGGCAACAGTTATGTAAGTTTATTTTTTCTAGACGATGTATCATTGGTTACAAAGAATTTTCTAACATCAGAATTTTAATTGAGTTTTATCATAGATTCGAGAAGCATCAACTTAGATTTATCTGTAACTTTCATCATTCTAACCCGTGATTTTAGTGTCATTCGTGACCCATCCGATCACGGCTTGCTACAAGGTCCTGGCTTTTTATTAAATCCTAAAGTTCCTAGCAAGGAAGTTGTATAAATATGTGTGAAAGACTTATATGTTTTGAGTTTTCTAACATAAACAAATGAAGAGTATTAACTATTCTTTCTCAACCAAAAACGTTCCCATAAGTGTAAATGTGTTCCCATGTGTCTAATGTAATTGCTCCAATAGCGGAATAACCCACATAAAAACCGATCAAAAAGATTATCTGCAGTAAATGTAGTTGGAACTATTTCCTCATTGAACAGAGTGTTTAGAATCATTCGGAAAAGTTTGCTGCAAATATGTAGAACAACACAGACCTTTGTGTCTGCTCTCATCACAAAATGAAAAACTGTCGTAAAGACAACGTTGTTTTTTTTATCTGCAATCTTGGCTTTAAAAGCAAAAACATGCCGTCAGTCCACACTTTCCCACTGCATTTTATGATGTCCTTTACATTTCCGACTTGGTCATGATAGTAGCAATTCTATAACTATATTTAAATAAGTAATTCATTGTTGAATAATAAACAATTTTAAAATATTGAATAAGTACAAAGATTCAACCAGATTTGTGTGGGCAACTGATAATTGTTGATCTAACTAGTTTCTGCCTACAGTTCTCAGTCTAATAGAATGAAATTTTTAAACATACAATACAACAGTCTGATATGATCAAACTTTACAGTTAACGTAACTTGCAAATCATGTATCATATTTGCTACTCTCGATCGATAAGTAAAATTATCTTTATAAATTGTTTACAACAATAGACTTTCTATTTCTACTTTTAAGAGAATAGAACTTATCAAAACCGCAAAAGTGTACGTGGACACAATGGAAGTCCAAAAACCACTCTAACTTCATGAACACTATCGTAATTTTTAGCATTTGTATTTAGTTTAGGTTTTCACCGTCGCTTAGGTTATACTTAAGGCCCTGACTTCATTGACAATACAAACAATTTTATTCAAAATGATTTTATTTGAATTTCGAATGCAAAATTGCAAAATGTATATAAATACTAAATCATTTATTTAAATCAGCTTAAAAATTATTGATACTTCATTATTAAATAAAACCTTAGTGTAAACAGAAAAAAAAACAAGAGTAAAACCGTTAAATTTGTCTACTACAACTTTTATAAAATTTTCTTTTAAAAATAATTGAAGTTGCTTTCTCATTTTTTTGTCTTTGCTATGAGCGAGTGACATTTTGACAACTTATACCCGTCTATAAACTTGACGATGATTTGGCTTAGGGCGGGTTTTAGAGTGAGTTATAGGTTTAGAGCTAGTTTAAAGTTTAGAGCTAGTTATAAGTTTAGAGTTAGTTATAGGTTTAGAGTTAGTTATAAGTTTAGAGTTGGGATTACATGTGGGGTTGGAGTTAGGGTTGGGGCCAGAGTTGTTTAAAGTGGGGATGGAGTAATTACTCAGGAGTTAATAACAGGGGGTAATGGTATCTGGGGGTGGTGTTACTCAGGCAAATGATGGCTGGGGGGGGTGGGTATAATGTCCATTTAACGTACTGGTTTTCTAATTAATCCATGCCGTAAATTAAAGTTGTGTAAAATCATAAGCTCTTATTAGATAAGAACTGCCCAACTTGGTAAAAGTTAAATAAAGTATAATTTATTTATGTGGAGCGTGCAAGACATCCCATTATTATCAATATTCTGAAAGACAATATTTAGGTAGAACAAAAGGAATCAAGTTGGAACATGAAGAAGCTAATTTATAGTAACTAACTGAACGAAAAGTATTGTCAACTTTAGAAACAAATGTGTCTTTTTGGCCATTTTCTAGATATTCGTAAAAGATGACCAATTCTTCACCGTAAACGACAGCTCCGTACAGATCGTGGTCTAAATTCCACAGTTTGGCTACGTGAGTGAATCTGAATTTTTCTTCCGTCACTTTCAAAACCCACAAGTTGCCGTTCGTTTGTAGCACAAAGTGGTTGTCGTCGTTACGAAAACTGATGATGTTTTTAGCTGGTCCATTGAGGTTGTCCAGTTTTGTCCAGCTTTCGTCCTGAAGGTCCAACATATGGACGGCTGTTTCCTCGACGCCATTGACTGTTTCAGTACAGAACATGAGAAGATAAATTTGGTAGCTCATTACATGTGTTACAAAATAACGACCTTGTAGAAGAGTAAAATTGTAATCCGTTTGGGTGATACGTTTTGGGTTTAATCGAATAAGACCTACTATATTTGCAAATACTTTTATAATGTAAATGAATTGGTCATTGCTTGCCAGTAATACAGTTTCTCCTGTGACCTCGGTTACAAATGTCCAAGAGTTATCACGGTAAACAAATATGTCACTTTTATAACTATATGCACATTGTCTACTAGCTGCAAAGAGCTCTTTGTCAAAAGCAATCAACTGAATGTCTTTACATATCTGCGGACACGATTTTATTGTGTACCTCTTTTCTTGAAGCGGATCGATCAACAAGAATTTCCCTGTATTGTTCATACAACTGACACAAAAGTTGCCATACTCGTGAAACTGTCTGTAGATACCTGCTGTCGGCCATTGTCCATGTCGAAAAGACGTCTGTTTTAAAACAGATGAGACGATAATTTCCCGTGCTTTGTCGTTACGCTTAATGAGACGATGTTCTAAAACATTCATTAGCAAACATGGGCGGATTATATAGGTTCTTACTTGACTCAGTAACACATCGAGTTTATCAATTCTTTCCGTTCTATCATTTTCCGAAATGTTTGATTTTGAGTCTGAGTGAAATGAATTCTTATTAACTTGGGTTGACGACTTGATCTTTTTCTTGCTTCCAGGGGCGTTGCATGTCTCTTCAGAATTGTTAAAATCAGGTTTGTATTCAGCCCATTTTAGGACCATCTCTAGAACAGGATATTCACTGTCAAAATTAAGTTCGTTACTGCTAAGTAAACAAAACATTTCATCGCATGCTAACTCTAAGTATAGTTTGGTTTAATAAATAGTAGTAAAATTTTGGAGCATGAAACGTTTGACTGACGACTGCACTGATATAGAGTCGAACAACTTAGCACTAAAGAAGATTTCTCTGAAGTTTTCAATATTTATGTTTTTAGCAGCGAATGATTCACATAACTCTACAAGAAAGCCAATTTGAAGCATGTGTACAGCGTGCCAGATTTCTATGAAGTTGTCAAGACTCAACATGTCTTCACCGGTGTACAAAGTTTTCAGGATTAACTGAAAGGTGGAGACTGATACATTTTGTAGAACTACATGTCCCTCGTTGGCTTCTTTCATTCCTGACTGCAGCAGCCCGAGAAAAAATGGCGAGCACGCTCCAAGAATAATGCTATGACCTTTGATAGACACGTCATCTATTTGTATTGTAAAGTTACAAAGTTTTTCCTCAATCCATAGTTTTTCAAGACTTTTGCATACTTTATTAGAAAGTGACATTCTTAATGTTGGGTTTTCATCTTTGTAACAAACAGTATTAAGGTTCTATAGCATATATTCTAATCTGAAAATTAAAAAAAAGATGTTAATTTAGCATTACAAGGTATTTTTTAATCTATAAAATATATGTTTAAAAAAATAAAACATGTAAAATTCAAAATGTAAATACTTCAAATATTCAATACGGATTACGAAATGTATTGATAAATATAAATGATCCATAGTGAATTATTACTGGTTATGTTTTATAGCTATGAGATCCTAACTCCTTAATGGGCATTTACGAAAGTTGTTGCTCGGACATCACACAGTACTTTTTAAAATGTTGCAACATCCAACATATTTTTTGAGCATGCTGTAATATTTCGTTGATCAATGGGGATTACTTAAAATCTAAATCACATTCTTAAAATACATATGCACCTGGGTTTATTTTGTTATTTATTAGCCATAACGAAATATTTTGTCTTCTAGTCGACCCAGGTAATATTTAGTGAAGTAAGAATCGGAATTGTAGCTAGGGTTATATATAAGACTATGATTACATAGTTCTCAGTTACGTCTGATGCTAGTAGGAAATTAAAAGATAGAATAGTACACATGTCATCAAACACTCACACCGACAATTCAGTACAAGTTCAATACCTAACCAAAGCGCAAACGTATGAATGTTAAAGTTCACAATATCATTAAATCTAAAGTTTAAATATTTAGTGAAGTAAGAATCGGAATTGTAGCTAGGGTTATATATAAGACTATGATTACATAGTTCTCAGTTACGTCTGATGCTAGTAGGAAATTAAAAGATAGAATAGTACACATGTCATCAAACACTCACACCGACAATTCAGTACAAGTTCAATACCTAACCAAAGCGCAAACGTATGAATGTTAAAGTTCACAATATCATTAAATCTAAAGTTTAAACAATTGGGGATAGTCGTGTTTGACGAGAAAAGTTCATCCTTATTGTTGTTTTTTGTTCCATTTTTGCCATCAAAAAAACTAAAAAAAAAAAAACTAAGCTTAAAAATAATTCAGATATTTAAAATTTTTAGAATCAGTGTTATAAAAGTAAGTTTCAATGTTTTGAAGTTAAGGCTATATTTCCATTTAATTTCATCAACCCTCGATTATACCCTGAAGTTTAACTTTCATAGCATTGATTAGCTCTACAGGAACTCTGTGATTGATCTTCTAAATATATGACTGTAGTAATTTGTTCTCAATACTTTACAGATAAAATTTGTATACAAAATAACATCTGTTCTTTAACAACATGACCTTTTGCAGCAATGTTTGTTGATATTTTAGCGACAAAATGAAAACAACCAAATTGTTTTTGGCTGCTTAAAAATTGTGTTTACTTACCCAAAAATAATAAAAACATCAAATGTATCAAATCTTGAGTAAACTCAACAAAAACCTCACAAATAGTTATTTTATATATATATATATATATATATATATATATATATATATATATATATATATATATATATATATATATATATAAATATATATATATATATATATATATATATATATATATATATATATATATATATATATATATATATATATATATATATATATTTATATATATTCTAATAGCACCGCATGCGATTTTAAAAATATTTAATGCACGTTTCAAGTCTATTTACGACTGCCTCCATGACTTAACTCTTATATTTTCGTAGATCTCATAATCTGTTGATCTACTAGATGTACATACGACAACGTTAATTTAAATACCTCCAGGTCAAACACAAATGATCCTGGCACTAATGTTTAACCGTATTTATTATAAACTCATATTCATTTAATTATCCTTTTTAAATGTTGATAGGTACACCGATCAGAAGATTTTCAATATTGTCAGATAAGTTCGGAAGTAAACAAACTAAATACCATGATGCGTCTTTTTTTAGAAGTGCTTGGTTGGTGCGACCTAATTAATGCATGCTAATCTAATTATAATCGTGCGCAAAATGTGTTATCCTAAAGAAATATTAATGGTAAAATAAATAAAATTTCTGAAAATAACTTTTTAACGTTTTCTTTAAAAGACTTTTTAAGTAATCATAGAGACGATGTAATGCTTAAAATTTTGTCGATTTCGTTTAGTAGATTATGGAATGATTTTCGCACTGTTAATATTTCGATTTTTTAAATCAATATTATTTTTTGCTATAAACAGATTATTGTTTTCATTAAAACTTAACCGAAGTTAATTAAGTAAAATAATGGGTTTTCTTGCCGTTTCTCTAATTGCTTGTCGTAGAGACTGTGCCATTCACTGTACTGTCTATCGTGTCAATTGGCTTTTATTTTTTATATTGTCAACGTTAAATTCACATATTTTTTTACGATAATTGATTTGTGTTGGTACATTTTGTAGTCTTTTATTTCGGCCTAGTCAATATTTCTGGGTCCGCTGCATTGGCAATGAATAATGTAATTTTTGTTTTTTTCCCTGTCTATTCAAGTGCTCCGTGAGCGCAACAAGAGAATTAAAATGACTCTTCACTATTTGATTTAAAATTCGTCTTGGTCAAAAAAGTCAATATTATTTGGTGACGAACAGACCTCTTTTCTACATAAATATTACTGTAGTAACCTATATAGAATCTAGCTACAGCTAAGTGTTTGACTAAAAACCATCTAAACCCTCGAGAGTTAGCCTGGTCCGTAGGGCCGATGAAGTAGATTTTATCCAGTTTTGTGACCTTGGTGTATGGGGTGTATATTGTGATAAGCACTATGTCCGGCTGTTTTTGATTTCCCTAACGAAAGCCAGTGCAGAACTTGGCGGACGGCTGGTTGTAAGTTAAATTTTAAAAAACTAAAAAAGTGCATTAAAAACGTTTTAGTAACAAGCTTTTATGTAATAATGCACTAAACAGGAGAAAATAAATGATTTTCTTTAATATATAATAAAACATTATCATTTAAATAACTATAAAGAAAAGTGTGGGTCACTTTATTATCTATTGCATACCTTTACTATTATTTAGGAAGAGACCCACGCTTTTCTTTTTAGTTATTTAAATAGTAGTGTACAATTTATTTTCTACTTTTTAGTGCATTATTACATAAAAGCTTGTTATTAAAATGTTTTTTATGATTTTTTTTTCAGTACTTTAATTTTTTTTTTAAATAAAATGTAGTTGCATGACTAAAATCTAATGAACATGATAATGCGCGTATAACAGTGCGAAATAGTTGGATATGCTTAATAATTTGGACAAAATTTTAATTATTTCATAAAAAAATTAATTAGGCATTTAGTTAAGTTAAATTTAATGAAAGATTGCATTGTCTACATGTCTTGACCCACGTGCCAATTTTGAAACGAATCTGTTAGTAACAAGTGCCCAAAATTTCGTTCGACCGTTTCTATCTATGACGACATATAGACAGACTGTATGAGAAAACAAGTAAATACTATCTTGTAAAAAGAACAGAATGTAGAATTGTGAGGAACATCTTCTTTAATTTTAATGCCGCAAACGATTTTATTCAAGTCGAAGCTAGAATATCGCATTAAAAATTGATGTAGTTAGTAAAAGTATAATGTGATGTAGCTTTACCAAAAATGTCAATTACTCTTCAAAACCATTTTTTCATTTCTATCAAATTTCGTAATCAGTATTTCTGTTTTATTTTGATATTAATAGTTACCACGTGTACGTTAAACATGTGCAGTGTATGTATCTATTTTATTGAAACGGTGTATACAATTGTTTAAAATGTAAAACATGGTAATATTACATTTATCGTGATGGTTTTCTAATGAACATAAGATAAAAATTGTATCATTTCTTAATACTTAAGGGTTATCATCTTTTGCACTAGTTTAACAATATTACTGGATTATGTTGCATGTATAAAACGTTACAAAATATCATGCTAGACATCCCGGTATTATAAACATTCTGAAAGACAAAATTTAGGCAGAACAACAGGAATCAGTTTTGAATACGGAGAAGATAACTCATAATAACTAAATGAATCAAAAGCATTGCCAACTCTACAGACAATTCTCTTTTCTGGACCCTGTTCTAGACATTTGTGAAAGATGACCAGTTTTTCACCATACAAGAGAGCTCCATACAAATCGTGGTGTAAACTCCAAAGTTCAGCTACAAGACCAAATCTGATTTGTTTACCCGTTGATCTCAAAACCCACAAGCTGCCGTTTGTTTGTAGCACAAAGTGGTTGTCGTCGTTACGAAAACTGATGATGTTTTTAGCTGGCCCCTCGAGGTTGTCCAGTCTTGTCCAGCTTTTGGCATGAAGGTCTAACATATGGACGTCTGTGTCAGCAGTTTGGTAGTTTTGTCTTCTAAACTGTTAAGCTGTGTATATTTCAAGCTGGCATAGCTTAAAATACTAACTGGTTCTAATGTTTTTAATTTTTTATTGTTTTCATTGCAGTTGTTTACCGCTTTAGAAACTCTAACACCAATTTTGTATTCAGCCCAGTTTAGAATCAACTCTAGTACAGGATGTTCGCTGTTGAAATGAAGGGCATGACTGCTAACTATAAAACACATTTCATCAAAAGATAATTCTAAGAAACGTTTAGATGTATAAATAGATTCAAAGTTCTGAATCATGAATGTTTTCACCGATGACAGCACTAATTTAGAATTAAAGAGATTGGCAGTGGAGAAGATTTCACTGAAATTTTCCAGTTTTATGTTTTTAGTGGCGAATGTTTCACATAAGTCTACAAGAAATTCAAACTGCAGCATATCTACAGCGTGCCAGATTTCGATGAAGTTGTCCAGACTCAACACGTCTTCACCGGTGTACAAAGTTTTCAAGATTAACTGAATGTTGGAGGCTGATACATTTTGTAGAACTACACGTCCCTCGTTGGCTTCTTTCATTCCAGATCTCAGCAGTCCAAGAAAAAATGGCGAACAAGCCGCGAGGATAATACTATGACATTTGATGGACACTTCACCGATTTGAACTGTAAAATCACAATTTTCTTTATCTCCCCATAATTTATTTAGACAGTTACTCACTTTCTGAGAGATGGACATTCTAAAAGCTAAGGCTTGGTTGTTCTTGTTACTAATACTTTTAAAATAATATCCTCGTTCTATTGAAAAAGAATAGCCAGGTTGATTTTTTTTTGTATACTTTTGAACCTGAAAATTAAAAAAAAATATATAAAAATATACAAGTGTAAAATTTAGCGTAATTTTGAAATTTAAATTATTTTAGTTAATAAATTGATACCTATTTGGGTGAATTTAAAAATATTTCAGATGCGTTGGAAATATAATATGTAATATGTTATGACCTATAGGAAGTATAATAATATAATATAACATGCAAATTAAAAAAAGCAAAATATAAAATATTTTGAGAACAGGGCATTACTATCCTCGCCGTCAATTACCCCCCCCCCCGGACGTTTCCCCCATCATTACCCCCGGAGTAATTACCCCCCCCCCCCCAATCCAGTAGGACATTACCCCCAGACATAGCTTAAGTTTGAGCTAGGGTTTGAGTTTGGGCTATGTTTAAGTCTAGGTTTAGGGTTAGGGTTAGGGTTAGTTTTAGTGTTAGGATCATGGTTAGGCTTAAATCATCGTCTGGAGTTGGGTTTGGTTTTCGGTTTAATTTAGGGTGAGGTTAGGATTAAGGTAATTTATAAGTATAGAGTTGGATCGGGGAGGGGGGGGGTTAATTTCCCAGGGGGTAATTGACAGGGGTGGGGGGGGGGGGGTAATTGCTCCGGGGGGTGTAAATACAGGGGGGATTTTCAGGGGGAAATATCCGGGGGGAGTAATGTCCTTTAGCCAATATATTTTATACGACATATTAAATATATATTGACTGACGCAGTATTTACCATATTGTTGTATTAGAGGTTTATAGACTGTTTTACAACTTTTATGACCTCACTTGTACATTAATGGTAAATACTTTACATTGCTGATGTAGTTCTTTTTTGAAGTTTTAAATATTGCGTGATCCAATAAAACTGTGATTTTGAAATGTAGTTTGTTAGATATCTTTTTTATATTTCATTTTGTTAAAATGCATGTTATGCACCTGGATATACCATGCATAACGAGATTTTTAAAATGATTGACTACAAAGATATTGTAAGGAGTCTTGGTTCAGCATGGGTCACAGATTTGGTCATGATTTGGATCAGCTTTTGTGTCCAGTTTATTCGTTAGCTGTAGCTTTAGTGCAGTGGAGTAGCGAGGTCGGGTGTTACCCGGTGCGGCACTTAATGGTGTCACACCCCCCCCCCCAGAGGCATAGAGACCCTTCCCATGGACAAACTTTCAAATTTTCGATTCGCACCCCCCCCCCCCCTCAAACTTTCGATTTGCACCCCCCCCCCTCAAGTATTCGATTTGCACCCCCCCCCCCTCGAGTTTTTCTCTATATATTTTGCTATTTTTTGCCTTGGTGTCACCCCCCTAAATGGTGTCACCCGGTGCGGTCCGCACCCCCCGCCCCCCCCCCCCTCGCTACGCCCCTGCTTTAGTGAAACGTTAAATGGCGATTACATGTCGTTGGTTCAACACCACTCATAATAATATAAAGTTTCCCTCTAACTTGCTATTCTACGGAGGCTGATGAAGTAGAGTTCAATTGTTTCTGAGAGTCAGAATAATGCCAGGCTGCATTTACGTTGGTTGGACGCAAGGACTGTAGTGAATGAGTGAAGGGGGTGAATGTTGTTGTACCTGTTACCCTATTCCGTTCGTCCTTGTTCAGTTCTCGTGCTGTGAGTTGGTATAATCAGTTTGTTTCCAGTTTACGAAAGGGTATATAAGGTGTATGAAAAATTGTGTAAGTGCCTCAGATCTCCAAGGTTACTGTAGGTTAGATCGATACTAGTATTTAGCCACTGTATCTTTTTACTAGCTTATGTATTTTGTGTTTTGAATAGACTGTTAGGTGTAGTTAGAGTAGATATTATTAAATTATTTTTTTTTCCACGAGACTTTGTTTCATTAAGTCTTGTTTTGTAACCAGTTTGTGGTTGTGTGTCTTATGTGTTGCGCTACCTTTTAGTTTTAACGAGCCTTTGTTTCATTCAGTCTAGTTTTGTAACCCGTTTGTGGTTGTGTGTCTTATATGTTGCGCTACGCATCGGATCACCAGTAAGTCGTGTCCGTGTGTTCACAACAAGGACGTTCTAGAAAACTCGAAACTTCTGTGTCGGCAGTCGTACACTCTACTACCAACCAACTCTGGTCGTATATTAATAGAAACCATAACGTAGGTTTACGTTTAATTCGTTGTATTTGTAATAATTAAGTGTAAATGAATATAAATGCTGCACTCATAATTATACAAGTAAACTATACCTTCTTTAATATGAAGACGATGCTTCGATGTTTTTTTTTTAGATGTTATTCGATCTAGATCTAGATCTAGACTAGGTCCGAAGTAAACAGCATAAAATTTAGGGTAGGTTTTTTTTAAAAAGCACTTTAGTGGTGCGGTGTGAATAATTAGAAATAAAATCAATGTTGAAAAAAATTCAGTGCGCAAATGTTTAATGCTAAAGGAAAATTAAATCTAGACTAGACTATTCGTTATCCTTGGATACTTGTGGGTTTCGGGGGTCATCTATAAATATCTTTTTAAAACACAGATTTCGACTAAGCATGGGTCTGACCAAATAATTATTTAATATTCGGAGGTCACAGAAACAGGTGAACTCTACTTTACCTGTCCCATGTCCCGCCAACTCACGAAAGGCAACTTTATCTTTCACATATAAAAAAAAATTCACACCTCAGCCCACATGTTTATGTCTTTTGATGGGTTTGGCTTCGGTAAAAAAAAAAAAAAAAAAAAAAACTTTATTTTTTTATACTAGAGAGCAAACATTTGTTTTTTTTTCTCTATAGCTTTTTAAAGATATATCCGCATATGTATTTCCATTGAAAAAATGTGTTGGTAAATTCTTGGTAACTATGACAATACCGGCCCTCTTGAAAAAAACCCTCTTCGTAGGATTTCCACCTTTCATAAAGTATTATATTTTAAGCCCTATAAACAATGAATTCATAATCTCTTACCATATTTTGGGGTAGCCTACTCAGTTAAAATTTTATGTTGAGATCTACAAATCAATTTATTATGGAATTTCAAATTGCGGGGCACGTTACAAACACTGAATTCAATGCATTGATTCTAAACAAAGTACATTTCTGAATTATTTTTAGGTTTATTTTATTTTTATTTTTATTATTGTTACGGTCGCTTTGATTGCAAACAATAAAAAAGCAAATTTTAAATCCATGCCAACAATACGATGGAAGGATTCTCGTCAACTCGGTGATCTCGATCGGCAATAATTGCGTGTGTTGTGATTTCCCACTATGCATTATCTTTGAGGGAACATTAAAACAAAAAAATGAAACATGACACGATGTGTTTTAAACCCGTACTACCTACATGGTGTCTATTACACTATCGTCTCGGCCAGCTAGCTACATATCATTCCGGTGAAAATATATTGAGTTATTTTACTTAAGTCAGCGTAGGAAAATTACGTGTATATTTTTAAAAATTAAATTGTGTCCTAATTTAGCTAATTTCACTTCTAAAAAATAAAAGATTTATATAAAATATTTAAGGCCTTAAATACTTTAGTGAAAAAAAACTCAAGTGTTCATTATGTTATTGGCTTAGAGTTAGATTGTAGATCCAGATAGATTCTACAACAGGCGAAAAATTTCTAATGGATTAGGGATTGAAATTGTATTCGATGATCAATAATTTTAGTGTAATATTTGCAACACATTAATTTAGTTACATACAACGTTAAAAAATGGAATTACTTTGCGTTGAATATAAATGTTACAATTTTCGCTCACGTGAGTATTTTACATTGTAAATACATTTCAGATCTGGGGTCGATACGCCTCTGCCCCCCCCCCCCCCCCCCCCCCCATCCTTCTACCCCAACAGTATCTCGCTGTTTCGTCGAATTTATTACACTGGTTATTTTAACACTGCAACCAAAAAAAAGAAACACTATTTACATTATATTGTAATTTTAGATAAAAAAGAATGATGATTAAAATTAGCAAGAGTAAAGCTTATTATTCGTTAGTATCAGTGGCGTAGCAAAGTCGGGTGTCACCTGGTGCGGCACTTAATGGTGTCACCCCCCGCTCAGAAGCGTAGCGACACTTTCCGGGTACAAACTTTCGATTTGCAACCCCCCCCCCCCCAAACGTTCGATGTGCACCTCCCCCACCTCAAGCATTCTATTTGCACCCCCCCCCCTCAAATTTTTCTCTATATATTTTGCTATTTTTTTGCCTTGGTGTCATCCCTTAAATGGTGTCACCCGGTGCAGTCCGCACCCTCCGCCCCCCCCCTCGCTACGCCTCTGGTTAGTATTACAATAGGGGTTAAATATAGTGTAGTAATTAAACATCATTTATTCTTTTCGAAAACCTATCCGTAATTAAATTAGGCATATTTTAAGATATTTTCGCCTCTGTGTGCTATTGACAAACGTACAAATAATTTTGTAGCCATATTATACTATTAAGTGCCTTTCCACTACTTTTTGTAATATACAATTATAATGGAGAGTTTGGGGAAGCCCACTCCAGCTTCAATCTGTATATGTAAGCTTTTAGAATATTTTTTTTTAAAAAAAGCAAAAAAAAAAAGAAATTTGAAAAAACAAAGAGCAGACATTTAAAAACCTTTTCAATGTAGAATTGTGCTGAATACCTACTATAAAATAAATACATTAAATTATTTTATTAAATTAAGTCAAAGCTGAAATATCGCTTGAAACGCTTTAAAACTAGATGTGTAAGTAATAAAATATAATTTGATGTAGTCCTACCTTTTTCACTAACATCAATTACCCTTTATAGTCCATTTAAAGACCATTTGTTTGTTTTCCTTCATTTTTTGTGTACAACATTTCAGTTCTATTTTGATATACAATTGTGTAAAATCTAAAACACAGTATTATTCAGTTTATCATGCTGTTTTTCTAATGAAAATATGCAATAATACTTAAATTGTATAAACCTAATACTTAAGAGTTGTCATATTTGCACTATTTAAACAATATTACAGGATTATATTGCAAGACTTAGTATAAAACATTACAAAATATCATGCTAGACATCCCGGTATCATTAAAATTCTGAAAGACAAGATTTAGGCAGAACAACAGGAATCAGTTTTGAACACATAGAAGCTAATTCACTGTAACTGATTAATTGAAAAACATTGTCAATTTTATAAACGAAATTGTCATCAGGGCCATTTTCAAGATATTTGTAAAAAATGACCAATTTTTCACCGTAAACGACCGCTCCGCACAGATCGAGGTCTAAATTCCAAAGTTTCGCTACATAAGTGAATCTGATGTTTTCACCAGTCACTCTCAAAACCCACAAGTTGCCGTTTCTTTGCAGCACAAAGTGGTTGTCGTCGTTACGAAAACTGATGATGTTTTTAGCTGGTCCATTGAGGTTGTCCAGTTTTGTCCAGCTCTTGGCCTGAAGGTCTAACATATGGACAGCCGTTTCCTCGACGCCATTGCCTGTTTCAGTACAAAAGATCAGTAGGTATATTTGATAGCTCATAAAATGTTTTACAACAGAGCCTTCTGGTAGAGTTGAAAATGTACTTATACAGGGGGGATTACATTTGGAATTTAATCGATATATTGTCTCTTCCGAAACGCTTGTTGCATATACGTATTGTTCATTGCTTGCTAGTAATATATCAGTTCCTGGGACCTCGGCTACATGTGTCCATGTGTTATCCCTGTAAACAAACATGTCACTTTCAGTCATATTGGCATACCTTGAGCTTGTGGCGTAGAGCTCTTTGTCAAAAGCAGATATTTGGACATGCCAGCATAACGTTTTACATGACTTGATTGTGTATCTCTTCTCATCAACTAGATCGATCAACAAGAATTTCCCAGTACCGTTCATGCAGCTAATGCCATAGTTACCGTACTCTTGACATTGTCTGTATATACCAGCTTTTGGCCACTGTCCGTGACGGAAAGACATCTGTTTTAAGAGAGCTGAAACGATTATCTGACATGCTTTGTCGTTATTTTTAATGAGTCGATGTTCTAAAACATTCATTAGTAAACTTGGGCATATAATACACATTCTTACTTGACTCAGTAAGATGTTGAGTTCATCAACTCTATCAGAGCTAAGATTCTCCGATGAGGTGGGATCAAATCTAAAAGTGCTAAAATTTTCTGAAGTGATGGGTTCTAAATTGCCAAACCAGCTAACCGCGCGTTTTGACCTCTGAATCGAATCATAAGTTATTATTGTAACATTCCTATTTTTACTAATATTAGTTTCCATAACAGAGGTAGATTTGTCTTCTGAGCAGTTAAGCTTTATATATTTTGAGCTAGCATTACTCAAACTATTATCTTGTTCTAATGTTTGGAACTTGTTATTGTTTCCAGTGCAGTTGTTTGTTGAATCCTCAACTACAGGTTTGTATTGAACCCAGTTTAGAACCATCTCTAGTACGGGGTATTCAGTTCTGAAATTAAGAGCATGACAGCGAACAATATCACTCATTTCATCAAATGAAAATTCTAAATAGAGTTTGTCTCTACAAATATCTTCAATGTTCTGGGTCATGAACTTTTTAACTGACGACAGCAATGTTTTAGAATTAAAAAGGTTAGCAACGGAAAATAATTTTCTGAAATTTTCCAATTGTATGTTTTTAGCAGCGAATGATTCACATAACTCTACAAGAGATCCAATCTGCAGCATATCTACAGCGTGCCAGATTTCTATGAAGTTGTCAAGACTCAACACGTCTTCGCCGGTGTACAAAGCTTTCAGGATTAACTGAAAGGTGGAGACTGATACATCTTGTAGAACTACATGTCCCTCGTTGGCTTCTTTCATTCCAGATCTCAGCAGTCCAAGAAAAAATGGCGAACTCGCTCCTAGAATGACGCGATGACACCTTATGGACACCTCATCTATTTCAACTGTGAAGTCACAAAGTTCTTGATCCGCCCATATTTTATTCAGATTTTGACACATTTTCTCGGAGAGTGACATTCTGATAACTTCGACTTCAGCTGTTCTTGTAACGTATATTTGAAACTATCTTTGTCGAACGAAAAAAAATTAGTTGGATGTTTCGTAAAATTTATACATTTGGATAGTCGAAAACGATTGCAAGTTTGAAATGACACAACCCTTTTTATCTTTTTAATTTTATTATTTCAAATATATAATAATGTACTTGGTTATATACTGTATAACAGGAGATTTTAAAATATATTTTCTACCTAGAAAACTTGATGATTGGATTATTCAGGATTACACAAGATGTTAATATAGTCCATTTGGCTTCAAACACTACATGCAAATACCAAGTTTCCACATTGAACTTGGTGGTCTGTTTATCATGTAAAGTATAGTTTA